CCATTGCTATTTTCCTTTCCTACTACTGCTGCCATATGGAGGCTCCCACAGTCTCTCTCCTGTACCACTATAATAACTTATTCTAAGCACTCTGTTCTCCTTGAGCTCCTCTCCAATCTTCCTACAGGCTGCTAGATACATTTTAATAAAAGAAAAATATCGCCGGGCGCGGTGGCTCAAGCCTGTAATCCCAGCACTGTGGGAGGCCGAGGCGGGTGGATCACGAGGTCAAGAGATCGAGACCATCCTGGTCAACATGGTGAAACCCCGTCTCTACTAAAAATACAAAAAATCAGCTGGGCGTGGTGGCGCGTGCCTGTAATCCCAGCTACTCAGGAGGCTGAGGCAGGAGAATTGCCTGAACCCAGGAGGCGGAGGTTGCGGTGAGCCGAGATCGCGCCATTGCACTCCAGCCTGGGTAACAAGAGCGAAACTCCGTCTCAAAAAAAAAAAAAAAAGAAAAGAAAAATATCTCGTCACAGCGTCCCCTCCATCTTCCTCCTACCCTCCCGCCATAACTCCCATTTGCCCACGGGAGAGAATATAAAGTCGTCCACCATGTGATCACCACTTTCTGCTTCAACAGCAACTCTATATGTTTCACACACATACACCTCCTGTGCTGCAGCCATATTAAACTATTTGCGGTTCTTTAAACTCTGGTATAAGCTTTGCTCTGCCTAGACTATGCTTCTCCCCACTGTCTGCATAACTAACCCACTAGCATCCTTTAAGACACAGCACAGCAATCACCTCCTCTCTGAAGCTTTTCGTAACCACAGCTCTCCCTGCAACCACCAGGAGTTGACCCCACATCCTCCGTATTCCCCCACCAGGCACACCGCATCCTCAGCAGAATATGATTTTCCCATTTGTTTGTGGTCCGCGTCCTCTTCCTCAAGGGAGAGCATCCGATTCATCTCTGTGTCCACAGTGCTTAAGACAGGACTTGGCAGGTGGTACATGGTAAGGGATGGCCTTGGCCCTCCAAAGAGCAAAGCCCCGAGGAAATGAGATTCTAAGACTGGGAGACTTCAGTTGGTGAAGCTGCCTAAATCAGGGAGGTACGCAAAGTGGGAGACAAATGCAGGCAAGCTGATTTGACCGTCATGGGTAGTCCCTGCATCTATGGCAACTGATCCCACTGTCCAAACTCCCACAGGGTATCAAGGAGATCAAGGAGCCCCTGGGATTTTCAGCCATTAGAAGCTGTTGCTCAAGGAGACATTGACAAAGTAGATGTTGCAGCAGCCAGAAGGATAAAATGAAAATTCGTTGATTAACAAGTCCTAAAGAATAAGAGCAAGCCGGGCGCGGTGGCTCACGCCTATAATTCAGCACTTTGGGAGGCTGAGGCAGGCAGATCACTTGAGGTCAGGAGTTTGAGACCAACCTGGCCAACATGGTGAAACCCTGTCTACTAAAAATACAAAAAAAAAAAAAAAAAAAAAATAGCTGGATGTAGTGGCAGGCACCTGTAATCCCAGCTACTCAGGAGGCTGAGGCAGGAGAATTGCTTGAACCCGGGAGGCAGGGGCTGCAGTGAGCCGAGATCACACCACTGCACTCCAGCTTGGGCAACAGTGAGAGACTCTGTTTCAAAACAAACAAAAAAAAAAGAACCAGAGCAGAGAGGAGGAAGCTTGTGGAAGAAACTCTTACCATATTTTCAAATGGGTGAGGAGACCAATGATAACATGGGGAAATATCTTTTGAATCTGCCAGTCAGGAGTGAGATCAAGGGAAATGAAAGGAATTAAACTCAACTTCATTCATTGTGGCCCATTCTTGTGAGCAGTGCTCAGGAGACATTCAAGAGAGTAGAAGGCTAAAACTCGTGGCTCAAATAGACCCCAGGGGATTCTCAGTTAACATTCATCAGCCTGAAAAAGTGAGAGCTGGTTACACTGCACAGTAAGCAGTGAAGTCATGCACTGTCTCAAACCATTTTTCCGTGACAGGTGGACTTCCCAGGCAGCTGTGAGTTTTTTAATCATGTGAGCAGAAAATGTCATGACCCCACAGTAATGATAGAGCAACAAAGGAAAAAGATCCCTTTCTGGTGTTTTTAAAGGGCTTAGGGTGCCCTTTGGCTCTGCCTAGTTCCAGAAATTATACACTCATGATAACTGCTAAGTAGCCTCAAACAAAAGAGCCCTATTTTCCATTCTTCATCACTCTTACATCAATTTGCAGAGGCAAAAATAGGATGCTATTATAATACCAGGGAGGAGAATGCCCCAGGCAAGAACATCAATGGAAAAACATATTACGTTTAGGTTATAAAAATCACAGTGAGTAGTTTATAAGCGTAGACAGAAATAAAAACAGCTATTTAACAAACTGGCGAGTGGGCCCGATCGTTTTTAAAGCAAAGCTGTTCAGTGGTACGAATGAATGAACCTTCATTAAGATAGAAACAGCCACATCATCTGCTCTTCTTTTTAATTAAGAACACCGTAAGCAGGTTAGAAGAAAAGTCTTCCCTAATTTTTCAGGATAATGATTATCGTCACTGGATTACCGTAGTAATCTCCCAATTAACACCTTAGACCTTGAAAAGCAAAATTGTAAAAAGATTTTGCAAATGCTTAGGTCCATATGTAAAGCAGTTCCTGGCCATGTCAAAGTACAGATAAACGGTGCCAGAGGCAAAGCCAGACAGGCTGTTTTGTGGTCCGTTATCTTTATCACCTACCGAGACAATTCAAGAAGATTTTGAGTGAAGGTTAAGATTTCAAGTCTTCGCAAACACTTTAGACAACCTCTTCAGCATTTTTAAAGTTTGACAAATTCTGTTAATTAAGCTATCAGAGAAATAACCGTATGGAGTCCAGCAAAATAACGTTCTCAAGCATTTGTGGACAATGGCATACTCTAGAGAGATACCCCCACTGTTAATAGTACCGTAGCTTTCAAAGTCCTTCTGAAATAGTGAGACTAAAGAAGAAACAGAGGCACAGGGCAAAGAGTGTGCCTTATACTGTCATCTTTAAAAAACAACCTCCCCGCCGGGCGCGGTGGCTCAAGCCTGTAATCCCAGCACTTTGGGAGGCCGAGGCGGGTGGATCACAAGGTCAAGAGATCGAGACCATCCTGGTCAACATGGTGAAACCCCGTCTCTACTAAAAATACAAAAAATTAGCTGGGCATGGTGGTGCGTGCCTGTAATCCCAGCGACTCAGGAGGCTGAGGCAGAAGAATTGCCTGAACCCAGGAGGCGGAGGTTGCGGTGAGCCGAGATCGCGCT